AAAAATTCAGCAGCAACATCTCTTGAAACAGGCTTCCTATTACTATAGATAATCAGAGAACAGCTGTCAGCAGTGTTCACGGGGACTCTTTCTGGAAATGATGTTTTTGAATTATTTAAATGTCACTTCTTAATGCTGTTGGCACCACAGATCGAAAGCCCTTCGCTGCGCTGGGGGAGGCTGTGGGAATACTTTCTATCGGTTCTTTCAGCGGACTTTTGTGCCGTGAACATCTCTCTTCAGACGTGTAAAAGACTAAAGAGAACCGATCAAACCTTTTCCAGCGTGCGCGCAAACCCGCGAGTATCATTTCAATGAAATGTGAACATTACCTTGAATTCTTTTCAGTGTGCATTTCATTACAGCGCTGATGTTTTTTACCGGTGTGACTATACATCCATACAGGAACCGCTTTCACAGGTCAAGAGTGAAATCCATTATGATGTTAAACCTTGAAAAAAATGCGCGCTCAGCTTCGCCGCGCTGCAGCGTGCGCTGGAATAACACCTCGGCGGGCTCGGAGGCCGGTTTTATTCTCCGTTTCTCTTCTCTGGGTAAATACGATGATGTAAACTGTAATTAACTCCAATAGTTATCGTTTGCAGGCCTGAGGGACGGGTCTTCTCACGGCAGCGCCGCGCTCGTTTATCGGCTCCGGCCGCAGTACTTTCTATCTTTATGGTGCACTGGAGACGAAGAGGAAACACTATTACACAAAGATGCTTTTTTATCCTCTCCCCAAACCGGAGATTGAGGCAAAATCCAAATGAAATGCCATGCAAATGAACCCAAATGGACTGCTGAATGTCTGCACGTGTGTGTTTGAAAGAGGGTTTTAATGCGACGCCCCATGTAGAGCACCAAACCGTAATACCCTTCAATAAGTGCTATTAAGCACAGGAATAAGAAGAGAAATGAGAAGACGAGAGACACTTTGTGGAGGAAGATTTAACATAACACCCACTCCATAATTTCCCTCTCTGATGTCAATCAGCTGGAATGTGTACCGAGGCTGCGGCGATGATGGTAATTGGTGACGATGATGAGAATTGATAGAAATGAAGATTATTTAGACGCTCGCTAGCTGCGCATTATCATACACCGTGCCGCCGTTTTAATATTTCTCTTTCGTTCGCGCAGGACTGTGCAGGATACGTGCACGTGAGCGCGCTGATGTATTTATGTGCGTGTTTGTGAAGATAAGAGTTTGTGAAGAGTCTCTGCCACTTCCCGAGGGTATCGAAGTAAAACCTTCTGTGAGGACGAGAGGCAGACGCCGAGACTCCAAATACACTCGGGGGAACTCGAGATGTTTGCCGTGCTTCGGGCTTGCCAAAAACCCATGTGGGCTTTAGGCTAGCACCCAGCAGGCAGTGAAATATGTTAGCGTGCCAGCCCGCAGACCTCTGCCTGGTGCCGCGAGCTTCGAGGATGAGTCTCGAGCGCCTCGAGCTTCAAACTGCCAGTCATTTACGCCTGCCCTGGACCGCCACGGCTCCACTGGCCATGACTTGGCAACAGTCAGAGCACAGCACGGTATTTAGGGAGTTACGCTAAAGCACATTAGGATACTCTGCATAACAAAACCCTCCATGTTGGTTTGCACGGAGGTTTATCAGGATAGTGACCTGAGAATCATGCATGAATCAGCTCCAGTTGTGCATTTTAGCCCTAACCATCTCGGTTCAGTAAAACCAACCAGA